CACGCTCATTTGTTCTGAAGTCTCGAGACAAACAGAGTGAGCCTCAGCGCGAGCTTGTATTCTGTATTCTGCTAATTTACTGCAATTCTCTCTGATGATGCAGTAACTTACCGCGGGTCGGTCTGTCCAATGATTGTAAAGTCATTAGGTCGGTCAGACTTCAGATATTTTAGCAGTAATGAGACCAAAAATAATTAAGACATTTTAAGACTTTTTAAGGACCCGCGGACACCCTGGTGACCATATACGTGCCATTTTCCCAGGACGCGTCCTGGCCAGGATTTGTTTTGGCTTTGTTTTCCTGTTTTCATGCTTGCTGAAGGTAATGATTGAAAAGTAGTTTGACCAATAACAAGCAGGCATTGTACATAATCGGAACAGGAAAAGGCACGTATGGTCACCCTACACTATAACAGCATCTATACAATTTAGAAAATGTTAGAAAATGTTCTACCTGCAGATCCTTAAGGTAAGCTATCTCATTTGGGAGGGACTCCAGTTTGTTCTCCTCCAGGTCAAGCTCTCGCAGTTTCCGTAAGTTTCCTATCCCATGAGGCAACTTCTTCAAGAGATTGTTGGACAATATGAGAACCTGAAGGTACCAAAGGAAAACGATGAGCCAAAACACAAGCCCAACTACATGACAAAAATGAGTTTGCTGTCATGAACCCGAGTGATGGTAAAATACAGAAGAGTGTCACCTCTAAAGACACAAGTCCACAGATATCCTCTGGAATCTTGGTAAGCTGGTTTGTTGCCAGGTTCAGCTCTACCATACTGGTCCACGTCCCAAAATCCAGCGGAAGAGACGTTAACTGGTTGTCCTGTAAACATAGTTTAAAAAAAGTATGGACTGGTATTATAATTTTTTGCTTGGCCATGCAAAACTAGCCACAACTATGCTAGGGTGGCTGCTTATTGGTCCAGGTAAAAAACAAAAACACCAACAACCCTCTGCCAAATTCTGGTCTCTAGTTATTAAGTCTCCTTCGGGGCAAGTTTGTTACCTACATATCTTCAGCAGTGATTGAGTGGATGCGCTCTCACCTTCATATTGAGCTTGCTGAGCACTTTGGCTCGGGAGAAGATGCCGAAAGGGATCTTGTTGATACGGTTGTGCTCCATGTTGAGTGAGTAGATGGTGGAGAACTGGGACGGGCCGCCCACTGGGTAAGACTGAAAACAGTTTCGTGCCAGCGTCAGACTCGTCAGGTTCACCAGACTGGAGAGAAGACCCTGAGGAGAAACAGACAAGGACCAACATAATATTTACAAAAGGGGACAATTGAAATGATTTAAAACTGCTAATTATTAAAAGCTGTAATGAGCTGAACTAAGCCTCACCTCTGGTAACACTGAGATGTTGTTGTTTTCAAGGTTGAGCTCCTCCAGCTCTCGGCACTTCGATAAAGATCGAGGGATCGCTGATAGACGGTTGTACCTCAGACCCAGACGGTTTATACTTGACAAGTTACCTAAAGCAGTAAATCAACATAGTTTATGATTCAAATCTGTAAACTGTTGATTTAATCTCATTTACATGGACATCTACGCATACTTTCTCCACTGATGAGATCATACATAATTATAAAGTACAAATGAACTCTCACCAAATCAACAAATGACCAACAGCAGAGCTGTTTAGTAACATGTTTTGCTTCCGTCAATAAAGATTAGATTCACCTATAGTCTCAGGTAGGTCAAGAAGTTCGTTGTGCTGCAGGTCAAGGTTGGTGATCTGAGTGCAATTGCCAATCTCTTTAGGAAGGTGCTCCAGCTGGTTGTGGGCTACATCCAAGGTAATCAAGTTACAGAGCTCACCTATAACACAAGCCGGCAGAATCCTCACAAATGAACACTGATCTTTCATACACAAATATGATACAAGAGATTTTGTGTAATGATACTCATTTATAAATGAGATATGGCCAGATTTGTTAACCAATCAGAAGACTGAGGGTCCTTTTGCCTGTCAATCATTTTGTAAAAACCCAGAGCAGCGCATATATGGGAAGCAGGAAACTGATAAGATATATGATACAGATATTCATTTTGACATTTGCTAATCATTCATTCTGAGATTTTAATTACATTAAACTGTTATCAAAATGTTAAATATGTAAAAATGGGTCAGTTTAACTTTAAGTGACTGCTAGATGATGCCAAATGTAAAGATAATGAAAATGAGCATGCACAGCTGTACGGCAAACTGTAATGTCCAATATGGACCAGTACTATATATATATATATATTTTTTTTTTTTTTTGAGTTTGGAAAGATTCTTGATGTCCTTCTCCACGGTGGTGATCCGATTAAAGCGCAGGTAGAGCGTGGTGAGGGAGATGACGCGGTAGACCACGGCTGGGATCTCCCGCAGCTTGTTATGCCGCAGGTCGAGCATACGCAACTTCTTCAGGTTGTCCAGCGAGTCGGGCAGGCTGGTGAGAGAGTTCTCGCTGAGCGCCAGCGTCACCAGCCCCGACAGGCATCCCACCTCGGCTGGCAGGCTTTGCAGCTTGTTGCTGTACAGGTAGAGCTCAGTCAGCTGGGTCAGCTCCTTGATGGAAGAGGGCAACAGATGGATGGATCTCTTGGACAGGTCCAGGCGCATCGAGTTCTCCTCACGGCACTTGTTCAGTTCCTTGATGACCTCTGCATTGCTGGATTTTTTGCGCGTGCTGGGCGGTGGGTTGGGTCGCTTTATCGTGCTGTCCAAAGTGAAGGCCACCGCGGGTGAAGCGCCGCTCGTGTCTTTCTTCCCGTCTTTGGCATCTTTCCCTTTGGTTTTGGATTTCCCTTCAGCTTTGGGTTCCCTCTCCTTAGAGTCTTTATCTTTGCCCAGAGTACTGCTCATGGCGAAAGCCCCGCTGCCCAATGGCACATGGGACCCTCAGTCTCTCGCTCTCTTTCTCTCACTCTAGTATTTTGTTCGTTATTCGAGGACAGTTCTGGCGTCGAACCAAACGGAGGGGCGGTTATATCTGCGTGTGCTCATACATACCTGTGTTTCTTCACCAGCCTCGGTGGACCAAGCAGTCTGCACTCCTGCAGGGGTTAAAACTCCATAGGCACGACACGTGTTTGTTGTAGTCGGTGTGGCGAGGAGGCCAACAGCCTCATGCCTGTTTGAACTGCACTCTTTCTCTCGGCTCGGCTAGAGCTGTTGTACACAGATGGGTCGCCAGGATTCACATCCTTTGGCTGTTAAACAAAGCAAACGGTTACAGTTAAGATGTATAATGCTGGGAATGACTTGCAGACAAAAGTTGCGTTCAGTTTTCAGATGTGAGAAAGGTATGAGCTTCCGTCAATGACGCAAATGTGTGAGCCACTAGCTAATAAACATTCAGTTCCTTCCTGTATGCTTGTACCACAAGCGCTTTCAGGAAAAAGCAGCATCAGGCCGTCAATGGTCAGCCACTTCAGGCAATTAAGTGCAATTAAATCTCATATCTTTTTCAGCGATGCATCAGATGATCCTTTACTGGAGGATTTGCGGGAACTTATTAACCACACTGGAAGAAAAATTACACAGGGTGCTTTTACACTAGGAAAAGTTTGGGAGCGTTTCACTGATAAGAATGCATTAGATCCATTTTGAGGATGTGGAAAAAGCCAAGCCATTTCTTTTTTTTTATTTTTTATCAAAAACATAACTGGACCCGTCTGATTCCAAAATAATACAGCTGGGTTTTATATTGTCATCATACTAAAGAAAATTGTTTAAGTGATAGTCCACCCAAAAATGAAAAGTCAGTCATTATTTGTTGTTCTAATGGCATATGACATTTTTTTTTCAGACCACTAAATGAGAAATGTCCTGCCAGTGCTCGTCCACATAATGGCAGTGAATAGAAACCAGCTTCAAGCTTTAATGAAGAAGTATTCTTTCACAGTATTCTCCAAGTGTTCTGAAGGCATATGGTTTTGCTGAAAAACAAGCCAAAATTTAATTCAGAAAATCCTGACTTTGGTCAATGGGTCGGTCTGTTCATGAGCACAAGTTCACTCCGGCTTGCTCAGGAAAAGCACACAAGTGCACCATTTTGAGTATATGTGTACCCAAAAAAGATACTTTTGTGCCTTACTGCCATTATATGGACGAGTATAAGCAGGACATTTTTAGCAAAACTTGTTTTGCGGTCTAAAAAAAGAAAGAAGGTCATTAGAACAACATCAGGTTGAGAACAAATGGCTTCATTTTTATTTTTAGGTGTACTATCTAAAAATGTTCTCTGGAAAATATGTCGATCGATATGATGTTGATTGCGTAAATGCAACGATTTGCATGGAATTATGCATCATATTGTTATCATTCATTCCCAATAAAGGCAGCTCCCGGGCTTGCTGAAAATGAGCATCAAATAATGGTATAATGAGTTAACCAAAGGATTAATCAACTAATTTGAAAATAATCAATAGATCCACTGGGAAAGTAATCTTTAGATTCATTTAAAAAAAAAAAGTTAACAGCGTATCTGAGACACTTTATTTTGCTACTAAAACCATTAATTATCTAATAATTAATCATCAAATAACAATTTATTTTAATTACTTCTGATTGGTTAAATAGTAATATCAAATTTGCTGAATATACAAAATAAATAAATACATATTTAAGTGGAGGTTTACAATGACAGCCCCAAAATACATTTTCTAAAATACTTTTTTTCTGTAAAATTTTTCTCAGAATGTTTTGCATCCCTGAGAAACCAGTTTGAAAAGTGCTGCACAACTTTTTACTTGCTCATAAAAAGCAATCACAGGAACAGAAGCTTTATACCTTTACCTGTGAGACACCTCAAAATGTTCATTAAATCACAAATGACATTCAACACCCAGTAATCCAATAAAAACCACAACCAGCCCGAATCAGTAACGCCTCAGTACTCTGTGAGATGCTATCTTTGCATAAGCATGTGTTCTACTGTCCTGTATTGTGAAATTCAAAAGTGTGTGTGCGCAGCTGAAGTGCTCTGCGTGCGTGTGCCTAGTCCAAGCCCAGATCAGAGCTGCAGAAAGGTTAATGCTGTGTGGAATAATCTTTGGGAGTGCTCTTCAAAGCTCGGGCCTCCCGCAGGTCAGAAGACCTTTATGGCCAAAGAGTCCAGCTCATCTGCAATAATAATAATAATAATAATAATAATAATAATAATAATAAAGCAATATTAGAATATAAATGCAACTTATTTATTAAAAATGAATAAATGAATTGAATTGCTTTTTTACTCTTGGTACTACCTCATATAATAAGTATCAGGGTTTCCACAGTCATGGAAAATTCAGGAAAATGTAAAATGCTGTTTTCCCGGCCAGGAAAAAATAAGTTGAAATGCATTGCTTAAAAATGTGGATCCTGAAAAATCATCATACAACTGCATATATTTTCTTATTATGACAGAACTTGGTTTCAGGTTATTTATATATTATGATGCAATAAGCCACGAGACTGAAATGCGCGGCCTCTCTTGGCTTATTGCTTTTTTATGATAAAAGGCAACAGATGTGCATAGTTTTATATATTAATAGTCAGAATTCAATTGAATTCATGAGCCTAACTAGCTTTGATAAACAATGTAGCAACTTGCCACATTCTGATAATACTCAAAGTGCACATGAAGACTCGCAAAGACCATCCAAGATGTAGATGAGTTTGTTTCATCATCAGATTTGGAGAAATGTAGCATTAGATCACTTGCTCACCAGTGGACCCACTGCAGTGAATGGGTGCCGCCAGAATGAGGGCTGTAGCTATCGATTATTTTAGTAATCGAGTATTCTACAGATTATTCCATCGATTAATCGAGTAATCGGATAAGTATTTTTTTTTTATTAAAGAGCAATACTAAATATGCAAGAGATAATAAGATAGATATTTTAAAATAAACAACTAATTTGTTTTCTTTTTAGAAAAATTAACTTTGTATTGATGAAATTGCATACATTAATAACCGTGAAAACTAAACCCATTTAATGTATTTAATTGCCAAATTGCATTCAAAATGCAAATACAAATATATCAATAAAAAATAAAATAAATAAATAAAGATACAAAAATCAATTCACATTACTTTAAAAAAGGTAAACAGTACAAACTAAAACTAAGGAATAAATCAAAATAATAGTAATAAAAATAATAATAATACCTAAACATTGCATTTATGTCATGCAACTTAACTTCCAAGTTTCAGCCTCACTAAAGCTCAAGCATGACATAAGCTTTTACTGTGATAGTGATAGAAATTAATCTGTTCCAATCAGTTTAAATTGATTTTTACATTTTATGGGCATTTTTACCTTTATAAAGCCTTTTTTTCTAAAAGTGTGCATCATCTTTTGAGTCAAATTCTTACATTTAATCAGTCAATTAGAATAAAAGACGTTTGGGCTGTTACCAAACAAATGATATCAGCATCAAAATTCATCTTTGCAATGCAGAGGAAACACAGAAGCTGCATGGGATGAATTTCCCACACGGAGGGACATGAATGCATTTAACGTAGTTAGAAATGCATAAATAATATTTTGTTATTTTAAACATAAAACATTGAATACTGATATTTACAATTATTTTAAAAATTAAAATATACTTTACATGTGAAATAAAAACCGCCAGCAGGTGGCAGCAAGTCACTGTTAAGAAGTGAGTCATTGCGATTGAACCGAATCATTTAAACGGTTGATTCATTCAGGAACGAATCGCCGTCATGTTGCACAGAGACGCAAAACAGCGCTGTGGCTGTTTGGAATTTTTTTGTTGGCAAAATAAAGCAAAAACAGGCAATATAGTGTCTAAAATGTAAGTCTCATAAGGCACAGCTCGCTTTTGATGGGGGGGGGGGTCTTTCCACTGTGTACAGTACCTGGTATCTGGTTCTTTTTTCAGTACCACCTTGGCTGAGGTTCCAAGCAAGCTGTACCGTTACCAAAATTTGACTTGTAAAGCCTGCTGATCACTGATTGGCTGGAGAGAATCGCCACTCCCTACGTCATTGAACTTGCGACACGAGACAAAGGCTGTTTCTCAATATGCGTTCTTCAGTGATCTTGCGTCCTTGTGTTCTCGCTCTACGTCATCATTAACCGTCGAAGTTCAATTCCAATTCTCAAGAACGCAAGTACAGAAGATGCATGAAAGTGCCCGGATGTGTTCTTGATATCGAGGATGCATCGAGTGCAGACTTGAGAGAATCGAGCCGTTAGAAATCCCATAAGACGCTGCGGGCGCCGGTGTACGGAAGCCTGCAAGCTTTAAACTCGCATAAACAACCTTTTTTAAACAACAAAATAATGGCTGTTTCGTGGACTGTTGAGGAAGTACAGACGTTCCTCTCGTTGATAGCCAAGGAGCGGATCCAGCGAGAGCTTGATGGGACGACGCAGAATGAAAACGTTTTTCAGGAGGAGCAGTAGAGGCGGCGCAACTATAACAACATGTCTATAATCCCGCCCGCTCTAAAGCGGTACTAAACCGCAGTGAAAATGCGAGCCGAGCCGAGCCGAGCCATACCATGCAGTGGAAAAGCGCCTTTAGAAAAAAATAACTTTCAGTTTCATGACCTTCCACCAACTAATCTTGGTTACATCTTGAGGTGAGCAGAGTGCAAAGTGAACTGCAGCAGTTTCTGCTGACCTGTCTTCGTATGCAGTCAAAAAACACTCTGTTTGCATTATAAACAGGTTGCTTTGTCAGCCAGTGACAATGCCTTTGATTCATTGTAGGATCTGTATGTTTCCACTGTCAACTTTAGACACTGCTGACACTCTTATAACGTGACTCTTTTAAATTAGATGCAGGTAAGACCGCACGACTTCAGATAAGCTCCCTATAAATCCCAAAGCTGTGATATTTTGCAGAAAATCCACTTGATACCACTTCTGAGTGAGCCACTGGTTTCGCAGAACAAGCCTGCCATGAGGGAAAAGTAAAACAAAACAAACATGCGCACATCAATATTTAAACATACACAGAACCCCATCCAACTAAACATACACAGAGAAAAAAAAATAACTTTACTGGCTTTTAAAACATGGGCTATGGCAATTGGTAGCCATCTCTTCCCTTTCTAACAGGGATGGGCACAAGTGCTCAAGCGCTAAGTACATTAAGTGTGGGACTTTTCCAGCTTATCAAAATAGTTCATATCAATTGAAAATCAGTAACAAGCATACAAAAAATGTCAAAAAATCTAATTTTGTTCCACATGTGGTACAAGATCCTGAAAAAAGCATAAAAATGTGATGTGATATAGGGCTGCACGATAAATCGCATGCGATTGTCATGTGCATCTCGTCAGTAAAGCCGGTTCTGTGATTAGTAGTAAATCTCCATCACGTGCGTTCAGATGGAGCAGCATTTACTACACAAAGCCGTAGTTCACTGACAAGCTACGCAATATCATGTTCATAATCGCAGATGAATCGCCTTTTCATCGGAAAGCCCAGTTATGAAATTATGATTAAACACTACAAGGTCAAAAACTGTTTCAAAAATAAAACATATGCACGCATGAATTGAGGTTACAGTTACAATTGTGTATTAGGCTTGCCGCGATAGACGGTGCTGACGGTGATACGGTTAAGCCTCAACACCGGTTACGTCACTTGCCCACCGCGTCACCGACCCCCACCGTCGGTTTGATTTTTTATAGTAATAAAAATCATTTAGTTCAGTAAAAGAACAGACACTACAATTAAAAACTGAACGCGGCTGGTCACCATACTTGGCCACATGTCACGTCACTTCACTTCACTATTGTGTATGACTCTGCTTAAGCTGTTCTGTTAAAAACCTGTGTCCCAAAATCATCTCATCATTTGACAGCTGACTGAGAACGCTGTAAATACTAGATTTTTCCCCCAAAATGTTTCTTTAAAAGAACTGTTATATGCACTCAGAAGAGTTTGATTACAAAAGTACCAAACCGTAATCAATC